GCAATGACACCAGCCAATTCCCTCAGCACCCGCGGATGAAGGTCATCCGGGCCTGCTGACTTGGATACATCTAAGCTCTCCAAGTAATCCTTAACTAGGTCTGAAGGTAACCCTTAACTAGGTCTGATCTAAACATTTCCATACCAGCTGTAATACTTATCTGTGTTAGTATGTCCTCACCATTTCTGCAGTCATTAGTCTGTGACTGGGATTCTCTATGCTAAAATGCTCTGGGATACTTTCCTAGTCATTTGTGGGCGGATTTATCCAGTCCCACTGAGGAGGAGGAATCGTGTGAAGGAGCTATCAGCATTCAATTGCTCCGACCTGTGTCCTCATTTCAAGGCGGGGGGGTTTCTAGTCTGAGCTAGCCATGCAAGTTAGTGCAGGTTCAGAGTGTGATAGGCATGTGCTTGAGGATTTTGTGTATATCTATAAGGTTGGGATTGAGCAACAGCATATGTAGGAGCACAAGCTAAGACTACACCATGTACCCACCTTAGATTATCGTTTCTTCTGAAGCGGCTCATATTTTCCCCTTTATGCCCATATGTAGTCACTCAGCCTCCTGACCAAGCACATAAGCTCCAGGTGCCCAATGAATTTTTTTTTTTCCAGGTTAGGTTAAATCTTGATGCCCCACCATGCCCACTTGGAAGCTGAAAGACAAAACAAGGGAAAAAGAGCTAACTCATCAAGTTCAAATGCTACTTCCTGAAACAGCATGACAGAATAATTGTTCTGTTCTTTCTCACTTTCCTCAGACGATACAGGAGGTTGCAGGTTACGTGCTCATAGCGCTCAACACTGTGGACAGCATTCCACTAGAGAATCTCCAGATCATTCGTGGAAATGTGCTGTATGATGACTTTTATGCACTGGCAGTTTTATCCAATTATCAAATGAATAAAACCAAGGGACTCAGGGAGCTGCCAATGAAACGCCTGTCAGGTGAGATGAAGTGGTGATATATATAATGTTGTTTATCTTGTTGGAAGCAAACTTCCTGATCAAGAGGTATTTCCCTTCAGCTGTTCCAGAGATGATGCTCTGTATAAGGTTATAAGTAGCTTACCTGGCTTCCTTCTTAATTTACAGGCACTAAGGATCCCTGGCAGTAATGGAAGGTCCTTGTCTTAAATACCCAGCATTTACATGAAAGAATTCAACCACCATGGTCTTATAAATCTCCAACGCAATGGGTGCATCTACACAAGACACTAAATGCACAGTAGACTAATTCTACTGCACATTAACTCATCATGGCAAAAGCTGTGCTGATGCACAGTAGAATTAGTCTACTGAGCATTAGTGTCACAAAAAGATCATGCTCTGGCTTCCTATGTAGCAGTGCTGGTTCCTGAGCATTCAGTTAGTATCTGTTATTACACATACTAAACTTGATGCACAGTAATAGTGTCACGTTAATGAACGTGTAGATGCACCCAATGAGTGTTGCCCAACATTTTCAAAGTGACAAGAGACTTTTTCAGTGTCCAACTTAAGATGCATGATTTTCACAAGTTCTAAAAGATGCCTGAGGTTGGGCATCTGAAAATCAAGGCACCAAAAGCAGTATTTGCCCTTGCAAATTTCAGGCAATTTGACCCCAGTTGTGCATTTCTTATATATTCATCGCTTCTGTCAGTTTAACTAGGTGTCAGGGATATGTGAAGGCATGGCTTGCACCTTTACATGTGCTAACATATGGATTGACCTTTTCCATCATCATGTTATTCCAATGAACGAAGAAAAAGAAATGTGTATTTCTGTTCTTTCCAATAAGGGAAAACAGTTTACTTCATTTAATTTTTTTTCTTTTGCAGAAATTCTTAGTGGAGGAGTTAAAATCAGCAACAATCCCAAACTATGTAACATGGACACAGTTCTCTGGGATGACATTATTGATATAAACAAAAAACCTCGTCTGGTTTTGGATCCATCAAGTAATCTGGCTAATTGTAAGTGTTCACTTAACAGAATAACACTCACACCATTATAAGTAGTAGTTCCATCAGCCAGTTACTTCCATTATAGAGTCTCAGTTTTATAAATGTGTACGTTTATGTAGTGGCTTTACATCCTATCCCCAGTTACGTCAATTTTGTATTTGCCTTTGACATTACTAGATTTTGACACCAATCTTTTACAGCACGATTTTGAAGTTCAGGCTTCTTCCAAAGTCAATTAAAAGACTCCCGTTGACTTCAGTGGGTTTTAATAGGCCCTAAATGTGCATTTCTTTAGAAAAAGCAAGACGAATCAAATAATGCCTACACATTTCCTCTCTAATACCGTATTTACTCTAACATAAGATGAGGATTTCTCCCTCAGCCAGCATGGGGTGGTGGAATTCTTCATGTTACATCATTTGCATGCAAGAAAACCTCATTAAATGCATGTGTGAGCAGGTGAGTGATCCTAGCTCCGTCTCCCTGCTGTACTCACCTGCCATGACCTGGATTGAAAGAAAATGTGGGAGATCAGTGGTCTTTCAAGGCTAGGGATCAATAAATGCCACCCCAATGGTACATGCTCATTGTTGGTTTATTTTTCCAAAATAAAGTAGCTCAAGAACAATAGCCTTGCTAACTACTTCATTAGCAAGGCAGATCCGAGCTGCTGGTCAGATAACTTGGCACCGGATACTTCCCAGTTGCAATGTGGTGTTGAGCGTTCCAAGCGCTGATTATCTTGTTAACAAGGCGCGTTCCCCAGGTCTCTCGCATCTGCCACATACCAGGAGTGGTCTCGGCTGCTCCACTGCTTCCCACACCGCCGCTCTCGGCGACGTTGCAGATCTAGGGTTGGGATCTACACCAGCATGGGATCCTCCTGGCTGCCCGTCATCTCAGGGTGCCTATTGCTGCTTGGGGTTCCCCCGCCACACTGCTCTGCCGAGCCCCGGTTCTCCCCACGCTCACCAGAGCTGCCAGAGTTGTAAGGTACGCAGCTTGCCTGGTGTCTCCTTGTCTCGGGTCCCGTGGTCTCAGCATCTTTCCAAGGTCAACAGGTGGGCTTCTTGTCTTCCTCACTGTCTGAGGCCTCAACTGCCCTTCGCTGTCTTCTTGTGCCCAAAGGCAAAAAAGTATCTGTCTTGCCGCTGGATATATATCAGCCGTGGCGGGTTAATCACCTGGTCCTGCCCCGGGTGTGTAATTCCCTCGATCTGGCAGGATACATTGTTGGGTCAGTCATGCCTGATCCTGCCTTAGTAACAGGGCTCCCTCCTGAGCCCCTGTTACAGCATGGTCTCTCATTAAAATGCTGCCAAAAGTAATATGTGCTCAGTAATCAAAACCAAATGTGGAGTGGATTAAATGCAGCCAATACTGAGCATGACTATAAAACACCTGGCCCATATTGGGCAAAGATACCGACAGGAATCTACCGCAAAGATAGGTTAGTACAACACATCTGAATCAGATATATGCTAGTGCCCATTGCACTGAGTCCCCCTCAATGTCAACTCTTTCAAGTCATGATGAGGCACTGTAAAGAAAACATTTTTACTTCCTTTTCACTCCCACAGTTGAGCTGTGCCTTTCTTTCTCATTTCCAATGATTCCTGGTTCTTCACTAGTCATAAGTGTCTGGTAAACATCACCAAATGGGGCACCTAGCAATTCACCCAGAATCCCTCTGTCACCCCTCTCTCAGCCTGGAACATATGATTAGTGTGGCCTTGCCCTCCATGAGATGGAGCTGGACCAAGTTGCCCCACACTTCATCTGCATATACATTTTTGGAGGATCTCAGGACTTGTAATGAGAACATCTGGTTCCAGTCCTGAGTTGGGGGCTAATTAACACATGGATCCTTTGTGGGGCAGGTATCTGAAGTACACACACGAAGGGCATTTATACATGTACCTTTTCACACTGTAACATGCTAGAGTTCTGACATGTCAGAGCAGACTCGAGTAATCAATTCTGCTCGTCACACGAGCTGACATGCACTGCACTGCATTGTGTGCTGCAGTTGTATGTGGCGAAATGCACATCAGTGTGCAGAAAATGGCAGCGGTGCACTTTTGAACTAAAACACCTTTGATGCATTTTACTTCAAAAGCACGCCACTGCCATTTTATCAGCGCTGACGTGCATTTTGCTATTTATACAAATGTATGCTTTTAAAAGCACTGAGGGGCAAATGTGTACAAATGCGTATAATAAGTGCGGCTGAGCTATGAAGTCACCATGGCTTTAAATGTTGTTGCCACTGCTGTGGCCCAGCCCAGTGAACTATATGGTAAATCATGACCCTTTTGGCTTCGGATTAATATCATGTATAGTTTCTTCTACATATAAATAGGTACAAAAGTGCTGCTTAGAATTGTGTTTATGGAGTACCCATGCTAAAACTTGCAACAGTTTCAGAAAAGGTAAAATGCATCAATACTGGATGAACTAAGTCTGTGGGTATGGATAGGAATTTATCTATATTCAGTGTACTACAAGTATGTTTATTTCAAAGTCCGTGTTTTCAGATTTGCCCCTCGCTTCTGTGTACCCAGGGGGGAGCAGGGTCTGATGGTAAGGAGGGAGGGTAGGGAGAAAGAGGTTGCAGGGAGGAAAAGTTGCAGGGCAGGGGAACCCCCCGATCACCCTTCTAATTTATTTTCCCTGCTGTAGTAGTGGGAGGTGGACAAATTCAAGGCAAACCTCCAGTAATTAGATTCTATACCTGGAAAATTATAAGAAATTTATACATTTTCCATATCTAATTATTGGTCAATCGTCTTGTATTCCAGGTCATCTTACATTAAAGTAAATATAATAGCTTTAAATGTACAAGGTAAGACTCTGGTCAAGCAAGGCATACAGGTCTGTGCTTGACTTGAACCAGGGGTTGTCAGCCAGGGGTACTTGGAAAGGAGCTAGGAGGTATGTGCAGGCAGGCGGGAACGGAGCGCCGCTACCCACCTCCCCATGCCATCGCCTCCCGGGGCGGGGGCAGCGGCTCCCCTCTGCAGGCTGCACAGGCACAGCCCAGCCGGCTGACCTGGGAGTGGGGTGGGGGGGATGGAGCTCGCATGCGGAGGCTGCCACTGCCATCCACCACCCTGCGCCGCTGCTGTATTCATGCTCCCCCTGCTTCATGTCCAACTACTGTGATCCCCGCCACACCTCACTCTACCAGAAGTGTACCCAGAAGGGGTACGCTCCTTTAAAAAGGTTGAAAACCCCTGACTTAAACCATGCAATGGATCCGAGGTTGCTTAAATATTTTCTTATATTATAGTTTCATAGTTGGTAGGGTCACAAGGGACCTAATTAGAACATCAAGTCTGACCCCCTGCCATGGCAGGAAAGAGTACTGGGGTCAAACGACCCCAGCAAGGTGTTCATCTAGCCTCCTCTTAAAGACCCCCAGGGTAGGAGCCAGCACCACTTTGCTTGGAAGTTGGTTCCAGATCCTAGCCGCCCTGACAGTGAAGTAGCGCCTCCTGATATCTAGCCTAAATCTACCCTATGCCAGCTTGTGACTGTTATTTCTAGTCACTCCTGGTAGTGCTTGGGGAAACAGGGACTCCCCCAATGCCTGCTGGTCCCCTCTGACTAGTTTGTAACAGGCCACTAGATCCCCCCTCAGCCTTCTCTTGTGGAGGCTGAACAGGTTCAGGTCCCGTAGCCTCTCCTTGTTCCTATTTGTGCTCATCTTGAAACCCATGTATGTTTGAGAGCATAGGCAAACAAAGACCAGAAATAGGGATGCTTTCAGTCGATATGGAGGTAAGTGTATTTTTGAAAGCACATAAATCTATGCCCAAGCTTAGATCTGGCTCAGTAAAGTACTGTCAAATCCATATTTATTTCTTAGACAGTTAAGAGTGGGGAGGGGAGGGAAATGGAAGTGTTTGCTTTCACTGCTGAGCACTTTTAGTAATATAAAGGAAGAATACATGTTTTTGTATCTACTTGCTGAGTAATTAGCTAAGTTCTAACAGCCAAATTGTGCCTTGACATGCATCCAATGGAACCCAAATAAGGTGAATACAGTTACAAGACATGGAAACCAGCGAATAACTTGGCTCCAGGTCTTATAGGCATTTTAACCTTTAACTCTTAGACAAAGTTCTTTGGTCCCACAGTAAATTAGTCAACTATTAGACAAATATTGGCATTTGTTCAGCTATTTAACGGGCAGTGAAGAGTGGGGGAGGAAAGAGCCATGAGATGTTAGTGGGTGGAAGCTTTATTAGGAGGAAATACTTCTTGTGTGTTATAAGTTTCAGATTAATTTATTGGAGCAGGCTTTATTTTTAATAATGAGCAGATTTTTTTAAAAAGTGTGTCCTTGGGACTTGACCTGCCCCTAGAAAACAGAAAATAAAAGGAAAAATAGAGAGGCAAAAAGCTGTTCACTGTCACATCTTTGTCTTGAGTGTGTGGATGCTGCATAGTTCTGAACTGAAAACTATTTTTGTCAGAGCTTTTAAGGGAAAAAAATGACTAAGGGTACAAATTACCTTGTGGAAAGAGTAAATGCTGGGGCTCTGTGTTAACAGTCTTTTCTTCATTTTGTTTTTAGAAGCATATTGTTCAAAAACATCAATTTAAATGTTGCCTATACTAAGTAATGGGCACATGACCAGTTACAATCCAACTGCGGCTTCTGATCTTACAGAAATTATGGCAAAGAAGCTAGTTGGTCATTCAGGGCCTGTGCCTGATGTTTGCTCCAATGTATTGTAATTAGAACACATCAGAGCAGACTTGATGAATCAAATCTGTTGGAGCACTCTAATTAGAACACTCCAGCAGCCTTGGTCTTGCATGTATTCAGTGTCTCCGTGTTTCAAAATGGTGACAGAGGCATTAAAACGAGCTTTAGGTAAAGCGATCCTGCTGCCATTTGGAAGTACAGGATGCTGAATACATGAGGCACTGAGGGTGTTTCAATTATGGCGGCTCCCAAGAGCCACTCTAATTGAAACAGTCCCTCCACCCCCACACGCTGGTGCACATATAAAGACACCCCCAATTTTTATTCCCTAGGCACAGTAAAGTGGTTTCGTATTCAATTCTATCAAGTTTCTAGCTGCTGGAAATACGACAAATGTTCATTTCTACTGCAATTTTGTATGCCAACTTCACTGCCTACAGATTTATGGTACCGTTCCACATACTAGATGGTATTAGCATAACTAAGGAGCTGGGGGCGTGACTCTGCTACCAGGGGGTGCAAAAATAGTTGTCCCCAATAGTGTGCCATCACCCCCCAAGCCATCAAGGCACTGAATGTCCAGACTCTCTTGGAGGCTGTCTCAATAGTCTAAAGAGGGGGTGGAAAGTCTAGGCAGCCTCTACTCCTCCATACTTCTGCCTGGGTGTACATGTTGTAGGTCCTGGTGACCTCTCACATATACACCATGATCCAGAAGTATCAATGGTTGCTGCCTACTATTACTTGTTGGTTTGCCCTTGGTGTGGAGTGAAGGGTTTCTTTTCTTTTCTTTTTTTTTTTAAGAAATCTTAAAAATATAGAATTCTTGTTTTCTTTCAGAGTTAGCTTTATTAATTCAGTATTTTACGTGCGAATCAATATAAGGTAATACTTCTGTAACATGCACATGTGGCTGTTATGCTTTGATGCCAGAACTTGTAATTGGCCTTTTGCCAGCTCTGTGGACATTTTGCTGATCTCTAGAAATCAGAGTTTGCCGCTACTTTAGAGGGGTTTGTTAGAATGTGGCAGCCAAATTCTTTGGAGCATACCCAGTGCAGATGTTTTCATTTCCTCTCCACTCCTGTGTGCCACCCCAAACTGCAATGGAGCATTCTTTGTCCCAAGGTTGCAAGGGCCAAGCAAGACTTCCCCACCCCCTA